TTGACGACCTTGACCACCGAGACGACATTGACGACCTTGACCACCGAGACGACATTGACCATCTTGACCACCGAGCCTTGACCATCTTGACCACCGAGCCTTGACCATCTTGACCACCGAGACCCTTGACCACCTTGACCACCGAGCCTTGACGACCTTGACCACTGAGACGACATTGACCACCGAGCATTGACCGAGAGCCTTGACCACCTTGCCCGACGAAGCTTGAATACATTGGCCGACGAATCTTGACCAAAGAGTCTTGAGCATCTTGAACTCTTGAAAAACTTTGCCTGGACCAACGAGCCCCGAGCACCTGGACCACACTACACCCCTCGTCAACTGGGTCTTGGGCATCAAGACCGCGGTGTGACCGTTGGACCACTGCAACCTCGGCACCGCCTCTTGGGCATGCAAACCATCGAGGCAAAGCTTGGACGCAAGGTGGCCACCACCTGAGCGCCGGGCGTCGAACACCAGCATCACCGCCGTATGAGCAACAAGGACGGACGACACTGGTCTGCCGACATACCGCTGCGTGGACACTGACGACAACTGTGGCAGCGCTGCCTTCATTACACCATGCGGAATCGCAACAAGACGGATGCACTGCGACATAGCTGTGATGCCACGTGCATAGCGGCGTGGCACGGTCCACGAGACTCGCCGACCGGGCAAAAGCAAGTCGGCGAGATGCAAAATTGGGGAAAATACACTCAACGACAACACACACGCTGTCACGAGACGCCGCGTCATGCACGCGACAAACTGGGACACCCAACGTGAGAACGACACACCACCGGCAAGCGGGCGACCGACCGCATGCTCCGGCATCGGTGGCGAGGTCGTATGATGCAAGACACGCGGACATGAAGCGATTGCGAACAGCACCCCGAGCGACCGAGTAGGCGTGCAAGCGGTTTTCATGCGAAAACGACGTGGTCACGCGCACCCGGGCAACGGGCATGAGCAAACACTGACTACTACTGCACTTGACGTCGGATGGCCGACGCGACGGTTGTTTCCACCGAGTTAAAAGACGGGCAAGACGCCTTGGAGGGACATCGAGAGATCGTTAAGGTTACGTTTGGGCGTCGACTAGTTGAGGACTGCTGGAGCTCTTGGGAGCAAATTGCAAAGTGAGAAGTGCGAGAGACGACACAGGCGCCAGCGATTGGCCAAAACAGGCTCCGAACACACCGACATTCTCCACCATTGGGCAAGAATCCGCATTTTGTAGCCAATCCACGACGCTAAAATAACCCACGCGTCGTTTGATTGGACGGCGAAAGAGAAGCGACTCGGCCGTCCAAAACGCGACAAGCCTTTCCACTCGTTCAGGCCGCTGATTGGTGAACCAGCATCGCGAACCAGCATCGAGAATCGTCGAGAATCCGGCCGTCGCATCCGGATGCTCCCAACCTCAAGCAGCCGCTAACCGGTTGCTTGCGCGCCTCTTTTGGCGCCATTTTTCATGTTCAAGCACGGGGTGTTTTCACCGTTGGTCTATGTCAACACGCTCCTTGCATAGTACGTCGTTTGATTGTTAACGTACTTCACGCTTCCCAACGACTATGTTGTCGTATTGTCGTTTATACACTAATAGCGTTGCCCGCCAACGTTGGCGCCTTCTAGGCCACGTGCTGCGACTGGGTCGAGACGTCCCGGCCAACGTGGCTGCGGACCGCTTCTTTGCCCCATCCGAGGCGCCCCGTTTCTTAGGACGCACCAAGATCACGCTGCCGATCGTCCTGCACCGCGACAGTCGCTGATGCCGCCTCAGTCGCTGGCGTCTTCCGAGGACCTTGACACACTGCGTAGCTTTGCCGCCGACCGCGACGCCTGGAAAGATTTGACCGAACGTGTCGTCACGGGCCTCACCCGCGGCCACAAGCGTCGTAGGACGACGACAGAAGAGCCAGACGAGCCCCCGCGCCGCCGCCTGGGCAGCGACGGACGGGTGAGCGAATGAAGAAGAAGGAGATTGCTAGTCTCTACGTATGCGAAGTCTTTGTGTAATTATGAAGATAACGCGAAACACGTTCATATATAATAGCACTAGCACGCTGGGTGCAACGCCGCCGTCATCCACCCCAGCACGACTTCCTCGTTGTCGTCGCGATAATACTTGCCGACTGTAAACGACGAACTCGACCGCGTCACGTTGAGCCGACGCGAGTAGCCTTGGCCCGGCGGCCACACGCTGTCTTCGACGTTTTGCTCGGCAATGTCAATGTGACTGCTCTCCACGTCTACGACGACGGCGACATGGCCCCACGGCGCGTACTTGCCCACGTCCTTGTAGATGAGAAGGGACCCACGCACAGGCGGCGTTGCCGACCCCTGGGCATGCGGAACGAACGGCACCGAGACGTTATTGCCGACGTCCGTGATGGTCGTGAGGTTGAAGATGTCGACGGCGCCATCGACGGAGGCAAAGAGGAGGTTGCGGTTGATGAAGAGGTACCGGCGCGCGAGCTCGACGCACTGCCACCGGAGACCCGTGTACGTTCCGTTCGACTCGTCCGTGCCGGGCGGGTGGTAGTTGGGGTTGTCCTCGGGCGGGTGGTCGCACGAGAAGACGCTCGTGTTGCCGTGTGTGACACCGAGGAGCGACCCGAAGGGCGCCGGCACCGCCATGACGAGGCCGAGAAGGAAGACGAGGAGGAGCGTCGCCTTGTGCATGCTGGTGGCGTCGTAAAATCGGAAATGGCGATCGTAGCATCCGAGAGAGTAGACCAGCATGGGTGTACTGATCCCCAGCGACAGCTCAGACGGACGGCGTCTGATAACGTTCGTTCAACGAGCAACCTTCACCGCGCTGCCATGGACGATGGAGCTTCCGCCAACAGAATCATCATGGACGATAGGTGACCGTACATTGCACCGCGCTTGCATCGATGCGACCAACGACGTCGTCGACGTGCATGCACGACGCATGCGTTGCCAGCATCAAGGGCGCGCTTCCTGCCAGTAGTATAGCTGGCGAGCTTCCTGCCAGTATTGTCGGCGAGCTTCGCGCATGACAGTCGTGCCAAGGAAGCAGCGAACCGGTATCGACCGCGGCGCTCGGCGATGATCGACGACCGAGGTCCCACATCGCGGTGGCGGGTCATGGCCGCTGCTATGGTCGATGGCGAGCCGTCCACCCGTGACCATGACATTGCATAAGCTTCGCCCTGGTCGCCATGGCCTGCGCGGTCCCATGGCCGCCGTGGTCGTCGCCGGCGACGATGTCGACCTCACGGTGCCAGATCGCATCGACAAGAGACCATATGGGCAACGCGGATTAAAAATACTGCAAGTCGCATACGAAAGACAAGATTCTTTTGAAAACAGCCTAAAAATCAGATCTTGACGCAGGGATTCTTTCGAAGGAGCATGAGCAGCCGGTCGAGCCCCGTGCTGCAGCAGCGGTCGAGCGTCGTGGACATGGCGGCGCTGCCGATGGCCAAGCTCTTTGGCGAGCGCGAGGTCATGGCCGAGATCCGCTGCGACTTTGCGTTCGCGTTTGCGGGCGCATCGACGAGCAAGCCGCCGGCCAAGGTCCCGGCCAAGGCCGCGGTGCTCACGGCCGAGAAGAAGTCGCGCTTCAATACCGCGTTCAACCTGCTCAAGGACCAAGTCGTGGCGCGCACCATGGCCGAGCCGGACGCGACGAGTGCGCCACCCGTTCTCGACGACGACCAGCCGCGCGACCAGACCGAGTACTCGCTGCCCGGTCGCCTCATGATGACAACGTACCGCCTCCAGTTTTACTACCACCCGTCCATGTCCAGCGGCGACGAAGACGCGACCGCGTTCCAAAGCATCTTGCGGCGCTTCCGCAGCCTCCGGCGCGTGCACGAGTACTGCACGATCCCGCTCGGCGCCATCACGCGCGTCGAGAAGGTCGAGAAGGCGAGCATGATCAAGATCACGACCAAGGACCACCGCCGGTTCCACTTGACGTTTCCGGAGAAGGCCGCGGTGCTTCAAAAGGTTCACGAGATCCTCCTCATGTACGCGTTTCCGGACGACGTCTCGTACCTCTTTGCCTTTGCCCACCGCCTTCCGAGGGCGACAGTCGACGACGGCGCGTCTCTCGACGAACGCACGCTCGACGACTGCCTCCCGCTCTCGACGGGCTGGGACGTCTATGACGCCGACACCGAGTACGCCCGGCTCGGTGTCGATAAGGCCGCGCTTTGGCGCCGCACGTCCATCAACTCCGGCTACGCGGCCATCGAGTCGTACCCGGAAACGCTCATCGTGCCGGCCGCCATCTCGGACGACGTATGC